TTGGGTATTGGCTTTAAAAAACCAAACCCCACCGTTTTACCGTTTCTCCCACCATTTTTAGGCGGCCCTTTCACGTAACTTGCGGTTTTTTTCTTGGTTCCGCTTCCCGAGTTGAAGCCCGCCGCCCGTTGGTTGTGCACCGTCACCGGTGACGTGTCTGGGGTTAGAAAGCCGTCACGGGGAAGGCAGGAGACCGCGCGCCGGGGAAGGTGTCTCTGACCCTCCTTTCCCAACGCACGACGACGGGACGATTCTTTTTCTTAACAAGCGTCGTCTCCAGATAACCAGGTGCACTCTCACAGGGCGAAAAACGCCCGAGTAAATTCTGTCTTTCCCCCCCCCCCTTTTATAGCCAGTCCCCCAAATCCGTCATGGATTATCTCTCTAAACCCGGGTTCCTCAGCGTCATCGCTGGAGTCGCGTGCGGAGTGTGCCTGGGATGGGGCATTCGGGGGAGGCTCCTGAGGCGGCCCAAAGCCGGAACGGCCGCGCCGGCGAACAACCTGGGGAGCGAAGCTAACGTCATGGGAGAGTCCGGGGAGTTCAAGATGGTGCTGGTTGTCCGCAACGATTTGAAGATGGGCAAGGGTAAAGTAGCAGCGCAGTGTTCCCACGCTGCTGTTTCTGCCTACAAGCAAGTTCAGAGGAGAAATCCTGAACTGCTGAAGCAGTGGGAGTACTGCGGACAACCTAAAGTGGTCCTCAGAGCTCCCGATGAAGAGACGCTGATCCAGCTCCTGGCTGATGCTAAACACCTCGGTCTGACTGTGAGCTTAATACGGGACGCGGGTCGTACTCAGATAGCTCCGGGCTCCCAGACGGTCCTGGGTATCGGACCGGGACCAGCTGATGTAGTAGATAAAGTTTCTGGTCACCTAAAACTCTTCTGAACTGGGGACCAAAGAAATCTGATCAGTACTGAAGGGATAAAGTCCAAGTTTTTGGATTTTTCTGTATGTTCTCTCAGTATGAATAAAATAACCAGGTTTAGTAAGAGATTTAAATTTGCAAATCATGAGTTTCTCTCGCTTCTGTATTGTTCTAAAGCGGGAAAGAAAATGCCGGGCTCAGTGGAGCTGAGGAAAGTGGAGCTGGCAGAATTTTCCTCCCCATAGGAGGGAACCCAGCATATTTAAGACTTGTGCAATTGATTGAATATTTTGCGCTTGGTCTGGTTTGCTGGTTGAATAGAGGTTTAAGTGAATTTGTCCCATGTGCTAATAACGACAGGTTCCCCCTCTCTGCCTTACAGGAGGGTTTTTTGAAGAGATACATTCTTTAATTCAGAAAAGATTAGTTGCTGGAGCGGTTAAAAATTGCCCCATACAGCTGGGGGCAGCTGTAGCCAGCATCTTGCACAAACAGTTTCTAATGGAGTAATGATGCAATAGCTTGTAACTGGCATGAGACCAGTCAAGTCAAACAGGCTTTGCGGCCCGGACCTTAAGAGCCAGTAAACAGCCGTAGGGAGAAGCTGTGAGCCATGCTCCTTTCTGGAGGTGTCTGTGCAGCTACTGCGCTTGCAGGAATCTGCGAGCGGGTCAGCGTTCCCCGTTTGGCCAAGGTATAGGGAGTTACCCTACCTATAAACAAGTTAGTCCCTGTATGACGACCCAAGTCCCACTCTACTTGGGATTAACAGGTCTCGATTACAGAAGTTACTGGACAGAGTTCAGATCGTGCTGATCACGGCTCGCGTGTAAGTTCTACCCGTGGAGCTCCATCGTAGCCCTAACACAGTAAAAGGCAAGTTCCCTGCACTTCTAACCAGGTGGAGTTTGGGTCAGTTTTACAACAAAGCTGTTTTGTGAGAATGTGCTCTTGAGCACGTTTCTTTTACGGCCTCTCAGCCACGTCTTCCGGTTGGGTACCTATGAAATACATTGTAAAAGAGGGAACAGAAGGATTTGTCTCCATCAGTCAAATTTACAGACCCAGAGGGAACGTCAGAGGGGTTGAAACGCAAGCGTTAAGCAAGTGCAACAAACACAGAGAATGGAGAAGTTTTTATACCGCACCTCTTACTCGGGTGTAACGCTTCTCAAAGACTGACGCTACTCCCTGCAGACTTCTGCTCCACCGCGCTCTTGAACAAAGACCTATAGCCACTTCCAGCCTGTGGCAGGTTAAGGCCCCCCGGGTGCCGACACACGCCATTACACACGGAACAGCTGCCGTGCTCAGCTGACAGGGTCACACAGCGTAACTGTGGAGTTCACAGGAGCAAGCAGGAAGGGGATTCAGCCTCGGAGCTGGAACCTGACCCCGAGGACGGCTCCTGGTTAAGAGAGGGAAGCTTCTACAGCTATCAAACACGGCCAGTGCTGTAATACTCATTACACTCAAATATGACAGTATTCATAGAGAAACATTTAAGTCAATTTTATTTGAAGCTAAATATATTTAAGGCAACTTACATACCTAGAACATGATCTCAATTTAACTGACACGCCCTACCACAATCCTACGATATCATCTGGTCAAATATGCTGTCGTTGACCACAATGCAGTCAACTATTGAAAAGTGCTATTTTGTTCTCTCTGGCATGATCTTTCTATAGAAAAAGCATTACATATTTTCTTGTATTGCCCTCTCAGTGCAAGACACCACTAATGGTCTCCACTGCTGCTTTCCTGATGGCCCCTCGTACCCTTGAACGTACGCACTTGCATGCCCCATACTACTAGCACTGTAATACTGGGTTTGAGTTCGAAGGTCCTTTTTGAAGACAGTAAAGTGAAGCTACCACTATGCAGCATGTCCACAGTCCAGTAATTTATTTTTAAATTGAGTAATTTCAAATTGCACAAACAAAACTGAACAGCAATATGCTTGAATTCTCTCTTCTGTACACTCAAAACAGTGATCTAAAACACCACAATATCCAACATACACAAACCTCAGGGCAGGGTTAGTAAATACACAGATTGGAATCATGGTGCTCTGTTCCTGAATGGAATGTCCCACAAAAGCACAGGATACAGCACAACATAAGGTCATCTGTTACATATGGAGTGAGCAAAAAGACACTAGCATTTTCTATATGCATAACTGGAAAAACCTGCATAGGTTAAGGAGAAAAAAAAAAAACTTTTACTCATTTTAAGTCAGGCAAGGTTGTCTGTACGCATTTTAAATTCTTTTAGAGCTATGCAATCCAACCAGGGAAGGATGTGCTGATTAGTGTTGTCTCCTGTCAGCAGTCTTGCAAGGTCAAATACAAGTATCTTCGCTTTAGCTTTCTCCGAATATACAGTGAGACTTAAATGCATTTAGAATAGACAGTACATACTGTAAGCTGCTCACATACAATGAACTTAAGATTCAATATTAGAGTTTAACACTATAGAGTGCAAATCAGAATTTTCACAATAGACTTAATGGTAATAAGCAGTCCTGCAAAAGCCCACTTGAACAAAGTTGTTTAAACTATTCCCCTTGTAAAGTAAAGTCTAAATGACATGGAATGTGAAAAAGATTTAACATAAGTGATTCAAATAGTTTGCGCTAGAAAAAACAGTCCTTCATGAAATAAAGGTTACAAGAACACGAGGCAGAACTCTTGCTTTTCCCTGTTATGAGTTAAAGCGGGGAGGGACGGTGGAGTTTCAGTAAGAAAATACGCTAGCTCCAAACTGACTTGTGCTGCATCTTACATGCTGTACCCAAAGCCCGGCTGCGGTTGCCCATATGGAGGTGCAGTGTAGCCATAGCCAAAAGGTGCTTGTGGAGGAACTGCGACACTGGGTCCTGCTGTCAACATTAGCTGTGGCTGACCTGGAAGACAAGAACAGTTTCATCTTTATTCCTCGCTACTGACAGTTCAGGCAGCAGAATTCCTGCAGCTTCCCCGTAGACATTTGCATGTTTAGCAGTAAGTCCCTGTTGACCTGGTTTAGGGTCCTCGGCAGCCAGAACGGGTATTTCCCCACAAAACCTCAGGATGACAGAGTATATGGCTAAAAATACTACACTATGAAGTACGTGGACACTGAGGGATTCTTGAAGTCTGGGGCAAGTAGTTCTTAGAAATCTGATGAGGCAAGAGAAGGGAGCAGCTTCCTATTCCTTAGGCATTGAGCTCACCCAGTCCCAGAATCAGTTTGGCTTTTGAATAGCATTTCCTGCTCCAACTGTGTTAGTAACTCTGCTTCATTTAAGGCCGGAGTCCTGTGCTATGGCGAGCCTGATGCAAAGGCTTGACCCCTGCAGTCCTAAAGTACAGAAACATCTTCTAAAACAAACATGCTCATAAGCCACATGCACTACAATATAATAGTTCCTTCTGGAGAATTATAGCTTTGATAAGTGTCTGACTTTCAGCTACTTATAACAATTTAAGACGACAGCCCAATAGTTTGCAGTTGTAACGGCATGTTAGGCCAGGACACAGTTTCCAGACTAGTTCAGCCTTACAGTAGCAATTCAGACATACTAAGAATATTAAGTGTGCATAAAGACAACTGTTACAATATTTTTTGCTTTAGAGACAGCGTAGATTGGATTACTTGTCACATTAGTACTCAGAGCTAGGTCTTGAAACATCACACCCAGTGGCTTTACGGCTAATGTTCCACAATTATTGTACTGCTTCAGGGTGTGGTGACTAGAGATGTCAGCTATACACTGGAGGCTCCTTTATCACTGGATGGAATTCATATTTGTAATTCTTACTAGAATTAGTGGAATAACCTGGATACAAAGGAAATACCCAAGATAGAAGTAAAGTGTGTTGAGCAGGATCCAAATAATGCACTTGCTGGAGGTCCAGAATAGTACAGCTCCTCCTCCTACTTTATCTAGTATTTTGAACACATTCCTTTAAGACTTGATTTCACATGAAGAACGTTCCCATTTCCAAGGACTTCCATGGGAAAAAACATGACTAGAGAAGCATTGTTTTAAAACGCTAAATGTGTTACTGACAACACAAACTAAAGCATTACCATAAACAATAGGTTGTGTTTCTGTAGCTTGCTCCTCTTCCTTTCTCAAAGACTCTGATGCATCCAGTTTATCCACCTGGAATTGAGACCAACAATTAAAAAACTCCTCTAAAGAGAGGTACTTATTCATGGCAGAGAAGTGGAAAAGCCTTAGTGGTATGTTAACACCCATCAAGAAAAGGAGACCATTTATAAGTTAAGATCAATTCAAGTAGCAATGTTGGTACTGGTGCAGTCAAGATTGTCCGTTTCCTGAAAAGAACCCTAATTGAGGGATTTGTGGAACTTCTTTGAAAGCTCACTCCAGGCTGAAGCTTTGTATGAAAGGTCCCATACTGGACTAGAGCTACTTTGACATCAGTAAGCTCAGTCAGCGTTGCTCCAACTACTTCAAAACCAACAGCCTTAGGACGCAAACTCAGATTTTAGCACAATGTCAGTTGGAGACCTTTGGTGTTGGAGCAATTGCTAAGATAATGCCCAGACCTGGAGAAGTTTCCCTGAATGTAACGTTGAGGCAAAGTAATCTGAAGTTGGTATTTGTATACAGCAGACTGCAATAGCATCCGACATGTCACTTGAGCCTCAAGATTTCACTTTCCAAACCCATTCACTCATGCAATTTAAGTTCAAATGCAGAGAATGCATGTGTATAAGACTTGCTTTTTTCCACTCTAGAACTGTGTGGCAGTCAGCCTAAACCCACAAATACTCAACTTGTTCAAGCTTAATACACAGTAACAAGACAAGACTAGCCAGCTTCACCCTGCTGCACAGCAAGTGCAATTGTGCTGTTAGATCACCCCTACAGAAAGGCAAGAGAAGAAACTTGTTCTGTAGTGAAATATTGCTTGCTACTAAAACAGATCCAAGGAAACTCAGCGTTACTACAGTCTAAGGCAGGCCCTGAAACTAAAACCACAAAAATTAGATACTGATATTTTACCTGGGAGATAAGATTTAGAATAAAGTCAAAAAGTAATTGGCATGATTGTCTCTAAGACAGTAAGACAACTCTCAAACCAGATTAGTCTTTCGTTTCATTTGTGTCCTTAATAAAGGA